GAAAATTATTTGGATTAACATGTAAATTTTACATAAAATCTTGTATATCTTGAGATTTAGACCTAAAAAATGATGAAAAACAGATACAAAATAGATTATCACGTTTATGACACTCTAGGGAAAATAGTTTGTAAAATGTATGTCAAATAGCTCCAAAAAATAAATTTATCTCCACATGTACATTTCTTAAGAAATTACAATTATACCATTAATTTTATATTTTCATATTTATATTTATCATAGAAGTATGAAAAAATGGTAGCAATTAATGTTTATCATTTTTTATGTTTTGGTGAAGACGGTTTGTAAGGCTTATAAATGGGTAAGATTTAATCAAAATTTATAAATTAAATATTTCTTTTAAGAAGGATCCTTGGCTATAGCAGATACACATAAAAAATGAGAACCCGGATCTATTCATAATTATAAGGGTAACATAATCCTTCTTGAAAACTCATAGATACTTCTTATTATGTATTGAAAAATGTGATAGCATGAATCTCAAAGAGGTCCAACATTTGTGAGGGAGAAAGGTGGGTACAAACAGGAGAAAATCAAGGATCCACACAAAGGTGGGTACTTCTTTGATGGCAAGAATCTCAAAGAGTTATTCTTTTATCTACCAGGTTCATGTTAACTAGGTAGCAACCAACCCTCACAACAGGCGACAATCAACGACTTGTTCAAAAGACATTCAGGAGAGTTTCCACACTATCAATTCTACGAGATCATCATAGACTAGACAAACAATAATTGTTGTTAGAACATCTGACCACCTGTTTGCATTATTCAACAAATCCCCAAACAAAAGTCACCTAGACCATACACCCGACCGGACGCCTTTTTTGGTCCCCAATCTTTATTAATATTTATTATAAAAAATACCCCATATTGTCCCTATTTAACTAGGGGTACAAATATAATTTTAAGGTCCCCTCATCTATAAAAAAGAGGATCATCTAATATTTATAAATAAATATGACAATTTTACCACTGATTACCGTTCTCTCTCTATCTTCTCCTTTTATGACGCTACAATCCCCAGGCGTCTCCCAATCTTCGGACA